GATTAAATGTTAATTGTTATTATAATATATCAAATGTGAACTTGTAAAATTATCATTAGCTAATATAAGATTATATGTAAAGGTAAAATAGTTAGAATTAGGAAACATTTTCTATAAATATAGTTCAACCCTTGAAGAAAGACATGCACACACTTTGTATAACATGACATTTGAATGCTTGATAGGAAATATAAAAAGGTATAAAAATATGAAATCCAACAATCCCTCTTTTGATCTCCCCATATTCATGGGAGATCACACCCTTTTGGATGTTTCCAGATGGAAGTGAGTAACACTGCCACCCCACCCAAACTTACTGCAACCCTCCAGGGGTCCTGGACCAGACCCATGGTTAAAACCCTTCCAAACCTTTAAAAATATCAAACGAATAACCTGTATAAAAATACAAAAAACACTATAACACTCCTAGTAAAAGATAATTACCCAACACACTAAAATAAGTAAAACTCTACCCTAATACTAAAATTGACCTCCCTTTAAACTACCTTTAAAATATCTCGTGGGATTTTAGAATGATTAAATGCCCAATTGAATGGAGTAAAATTTTGAATAGTTGAGAGTTTCCAATTGAATCCACGACCCTTCTCTGATTGTTCCTCAGAATGACTGAAAGAACAGACTAAACAGGAAAAGACAAAACACTCAATTTAAACAGGAAAAGACAAAACATTCAATTTAAACAGGACTATCTAGCAGGTCTTCGGTTGTTGAGCTTGCGGTGGGAGGCCTTGTTAGTCCACAAGGGTCCTTTTGGTGCTCGGCGGGATTCGGCCCGCGGAGATATCTTCATGCAAAGTCCTCAGAACCTTTATCAGTCTGATTAGGCATTCTAAATGACGTGTGTGTGCATTGGGACAAAACTAAATTCTGTTTGACGCGTCTTCTGTTCTTCACGGTCAGAGCTGGGAATCTTCCTTCCTTCCTTCCCCGTTCCACCAGACTTCTTCTCCAATGTTTGCTACTGCCTTTTTCTACTAGGACAAAGGGGCAAAGAGTGAGCTCCCACGAAGGTCCTGTCACCTCCTCCAGGTGTAGTGGGGAGCTATACTCCTGATGTTCCAGCAGATCAGCCTCAATCTGGTCAAGCGATCGATTCAGCTCCTCTGCAGGGGTGCACTGGTTGTGGTCGTAACAGGTGTCACTCTCCTTCTGGAGACCGATGGCGTGTGATGTTCTCACCACCACCTGGTGGGGTCCTATCCCTCTTTTTAGCAGGACCCAGTCCGGTGTGGTGGTCCGTAGTCAGTCTCCTCGGTCAGAGATTCTCCCTCCTGATGAGAAAAGTTGGACACCAAAGCTTGCGAATTGTTAAACACCCTGTATGGCCTTTTGATTATTTTATCTGTGGGATCCATGACCCATTTGTGGGCCTGGAAAAACTGACTGTGGTTACTTCCTAGTGAGTAAAACCTGTTTCTTAATTATTGGACACCCTGATGGTCATTATTGCTACTGCTAGTGTGTACTCTTACACTGTAATGTTATAATAAAACAGAGCTTGTAAAACTGAAATAAAATGTTATTCTTACATTCATCTATACACTTGAAACTGAAATGAGGTACATACTGGACTTCTCCAGGGATACCTGTGTACTCTAGTACCGTCCTCCACCCTTCCAAGCCTTTGCAGTCAACGGATCTACCTACAATAAGCAAAGTTAAACATAACACAACACCCTGCAATAAGCAATCCCCCACGCCGGCCTCCCTCCTGCTGGAACCTGTGGAAGGAACTTCATTAAACGCATGCGCCGACAACATCAAAGTACAATATAACCTTAAAAGTTTTTAAACAACTGACATATAACACCGTGGAAACAAGAGGAATTTAATCTTCCCTCCAGGTACCTGTCTGTGCGAAAGAGGAAAGCAAGGAAGAAAAAACATGTGGTTAAAATACTTTGTTCATGAAACCTTTTATTAGCCCAATTAAACTATTTAAGTCCAGTCCAGTCAGTCAAGTCAGTTGTGTTTAAAAATACCGAACCACCACATTTCTCCTTAACCTTTGCTCAAATCCACTTCAGGAGTCTGTGTTTTGATGCTAGGGGCGTCCCCCTTTTCTGGAATCTGTACACATTACAACAAAGAAAGAGAAAAATACTTTTGTTAAACCGATATATACAAGTGCAATGTCTTTTTGTAGGCTTCTGATTTATTCCACTTTTCAAATGTCAATGTGATTATCTTAAATGATCCTTTAAACGCTTCAGACTTATTACTGGCTTTTTGCTGTTCATTTAAATATAAAACCCTAAGAAGTTATTTTTGTATATTTTGTAATGATCTAATCATTATATGAACTGTTTCCTGCTAAGAGAAGCCTTCACCTTCCCCCTTTTTGAAACAGTTTTCTGTTTCAAATCTGAAGTATTACCAGCTGTAATTTACTAACACCCAGTCTGAGTATTAGTTTCAGAAATATAAAATATGGTGTAGTTTTAATCTTCCCCCTACTGTTATTC